CAGTCCCCTCCTCCCTTCACCTAGGCTGAGTAAAGTGTCCCTGCATAGGCCCTAGGTTCTAAAAAGCCAGCTCATGCACTAAGGACAGGTCTGGGTCCTACTGACTGGGAGCCTCCTAAATAGTTCAAGCTAATCAACTGTCTCACTTATCCAGAGGGCCTGATGCAGTTCCATGGGGCTCCTCAGCTATTGGTTCATAGTTCATGTGTTTCCACTAGTTTGATTATTTGTCCCTGTGCTCTTTCCAATCATAGTCTCAATATCTCTTGCTCATGTAATCCCTCTTCTCTCTCGCCGAAGCTTCTTCTTGATGGAGACAGGAATTAATATAGAGATCCACAACTGGATCATGTGCATAGTGTGTGAGACTTTGGAACTCTATGTCTTAAATAGAATGTCTTCACCAAACTCTTCCCCTGAGGTTTCAAGGAGCTATGCAGAGGAGGTATAATGGTTCTCAGAGCCAGAGATGGTGAATGACTCCAAGGAAACTGTGTCCTTCAGACACAACAGGACAGAGGTACATGTGAACTCACAAAGACTGTGGCAGCCTCCACAGAGCCTACATAGATTCAAGGCAGATGGGTGTCCAGGAACTGAGAAGGGGAAGTGGACACAGAGTGTCATCCCTAACCAAGAAGCTATTTACAACTGATACTCATTGGCAAAGAAAAAATTAGTTTTCTCCAATGATGTCTCCTTGTCTATCTCAATCACACTCCAATGCAAGCCTCAATCCCAGAAGTAGTTGGCCAACACATAAGAAATTCAATGGTGTTATGGACATTTTGCTTCATTTTGGCAGGGTTTTTGTTGTTTTGTTGTAGTTGTTAGTGTTTTTGTTTTATTGATTTTTTACTTGTTTGCTTTGATTTTATTTTTGTGGTATTTTGGGTTTTGTTGATTTATACACACACACACACACACACACACACACACACACACACACACACAGAGTGAGAGCAGGGATGAGGAAGAATGTAAAGTTGGGTGAGAGGAATAAGGGAAGAGGAAAATATGATTAAAATATACTGCATGAAAATTTTTTCAATAATAAAAAGAAAGGGCCGGGCGGTGGTGGCGCACGCCTTTAATCCCAGCACTCGGGAGGCAGAGCCAGGCGGATCTCTGTGAGTTCGAGGCCAGCCTGGACTACCAAGTGAGTTCCAGGAAAGGCGCAAAGCTACACAGAGAAACCCTGTCTCGAAAAAAAAAACAACAAAAAAAAAATAATAAAAAGAAAGGAAGGAAGCAAAAATACACAGGTACAAATAAAACAAAAGAATAAATTTAGAAAAATTCCTCTGATCTTAATAACATTTTATGTGCTGAGGTGTTTCATGCAAACCAAGGGCTGACAGTCTCTCAGTACTAGGGAACCTCAAACTCTGTGCTCTCTAATTCTGAAGAGACACTAAAGCCTCCTTTGTGCCAAATAAAGATTAATCTAAGAAGCGCAAAAATGAGAATAAATATCGTGGGCCATGAGAGACCAGCTCCCACTATCAGCTCAGGGTAATAAAAGGAATGCCTCAGAGTAGGGAGGGATAAGAAACTTTTTTATCCGAGGGTAATTAGGAGCAAGTTTTTAATTTATCTATCACTGATAAGGAAACACACATGCTTTCTAAAGGTAACTTTCTCTTTTACTTCATCTTGAAAATAGTCTCTGACTTTTTCTGTCTCTGCATTGTTACATATCTCCACACTGCTACATTGTATACAAATGGCTACATATCTATCTGAACATACATATGGCCACACATCTCTATACGCAGTTACTTGTTTTCACATGTCTACACATCTTTCTTTTACATACATTTCTCTTCTCTATCTCCTTTCTACACAGCTTCATTTTCCTTGTCTCCACACAGTTACAAATCTCTTTGGCACAGTTACATCTACACATTTTTCTCTCTATTTTGTTACGTTCCTCCACATAGTATTACATCATTTATTCACTCTTTACTCACTCATTCTCTCATTCATCCATTCTCTCATCTTACTCTCACACTTCTTCTCTGCCCAACTTTGGACAATTATATGTTACATTCTCTCTCTGTCCATTCAGCTACATCCCTCACTTAGCATGCACACCTACATACACTCATACACTCACTTTTACCTAGCTGCCTCGCTCTTACACAAGTCCTTCACATCATTTGCCCTCATTCATTCTCTTAACTTCCCCAATGCTTATTCTTCTTCATCTCTCACTCAGCACACACACACACACACACACACACACACACACACACACACACACACACACACACACTTTACTCACATTCTGCAGCAGCTCTCACATAACTGTACACAGCTGTCTCTCTCCACCGCTGCTGCTCCCTCACAGCCTAACTCTGGAAAACTATAAGTTACATTTCCAGAACCCTACCCATTCTCAAAACACAAGATAAGTCACCTAGTTTCTCTTAGGCTCGTAATGTCATATTGACCCATCACATAGCCTCGGTTGGTAAAGGGTCCCAGACATTAAACAGTTGGCTGAACCTTGAGTGGTCAAGATGTGTGCAGAAAGGGAACTACTGCAAGGACTATGTCTTGATATAAACAGTCTGGTCTTGATTTAGCAATAGACAACACCTGGAAATTAGTCTTTATGTTACTCTGTTTTGTAGTTGTTCTAAGGTCTTTGCAACATATATAAAAGGCTGTCTTTGAGACTGAGAATACTGCTACTTTCCTGTGTCAGTAAAGAAGAATATTCTGGTAATATTTCTGTTCATCAGAATTATACAGCTTAAACAGAAGTCATAACCTGACCATCCACAACTGCAAGTATGCCCAAAGATGTAAAACACACTACCAAAGGGCTATGGAAAGTACCCCACAGATGTTCTTATTAGGGAGGCATAACATTGGCACACCTGAGAAAGTTACAGAGAACAATCGGTTTCGGCAGCCAGTGACCTCGAGGCTTCTCCATGTGGAGCTCCCCATCAGGGAGTTATACACCTGGTGGGTCAACTTGTCAAACACTAGTTGTCACCTGCTGTATACCGCCACCGCCCTCAGCAAAGAAAGTTGGTTTGCCACTAGGAAGGGTACTTGAATAGTAGATTGACTTTTTTTAATATAATTTTATTTTTTGAGATTATAATATAATTACATCATTTCTCCCTTTTTCCCCCTTCTTTCAAACCTTCTCATATACTCGTTCTTGATTGCTTTTAAATTCAGTGCCTTTATCTTTCATTAATTGAGGTTACATACATACACATACATTTACATACATATGTATTCCTAATTCATAAACAATGTGCAACTTCAAAGGGAAGTGGTCCCCATATCTCGATATAAGCCCTTTAAGTAGCAATACATTTTAATGGGTTTCAAGATCTGGCCTTGGTAACTCATTCCCAGAATGTGGTCACACTAGTGGAAGTGTATACTGATCTCATGTCTGATGGGGAAGGCCCCAAACTCCAGATCAGAAGGTACATGTGATGTAGGATGGGATGAAGGAAACAGGAATTTTTGCATTTTCAGACTCGATTCTTGAAGGCACCCATGCAAATAAAGGCTTAAAGATGTGGGCCAGCTGAGTAGAATATGTGGTCTAGAACCTTTGCTTTGGGAACCTGCTCCTATAGAGGACCATGACCTGCAAGGCCAGTCTGGGGATTATAGACTTGGATTTCAGCTGAAATTGGGGTCTATGAGTCTGCCGTGGGACTGTGGCCAGTTTACAGTTCATTTCTATTGGGTAAGGTTTAACTTGGGTGAACAGGACCTAACATGGTATATGGCAGGCAATAAGTGGCTCATTCTGGAGACCTTAACCTGGAGAGTTGGGTCTTGGTACTTGCAAAATGATGGGTTTTGTTTTTTCATTCATGGAGTTGGGGGACCAGAGAAGGTCAGGTCCACACCTCCTTGCCCTCCCATACAGAGCATCTCTCTGCTGCCTAGTTTGGGGTAAGTGCCTATGTTTACTTAGCAGGTCAAGGTCACCTGATATGGTTATGAGTAATGAAACCAGGCATGGACTGGAAGGGCCACAGCAGGATTATTTCAATTTTATTGAAACTAATCAGACTTTTTATAACTTTATCAGCAACAGAATATAATGGCAATTAACAGGATCAATACAGTTGTAGTTGCCAGGATACTGTAAAGTTTGCAAGCTATAGAGGGTACACAAGATTAATGTCTAAATCCCGTTGTCCTGTCAAGCCCTCATGCTTCCTTGACTACTAACAGAGCATTCATTCAGAGAAACACAAAGTGGCCTCAATGCTTCATTGCCTAAAAGAGTGCATTGGTCTCTTAGGGACTGAAAGTTACACTTTGCCCCATGAGCCATGGACTCTAACCTAAAAAACATATGACACATGCCTCTCAAGGAAGCTAGGCCAAGCCAATTCCATGCCTGGTTCCTTGCGGTTCAGGGAAAGGCTGAAGCAGGGATCTGAATTTGTCAAACCAACATCTAACCTCCTTCAGTGCAGTGCTTCTTTCTGTGTATTCTAGAGTGTGTGACGTGGTAGATATTCAATTCAATATCTAGGGGGTATAAATAACAAAAAGCCCTGATGTACTGTTCTTCTCATGATGTCTACCTCTGTTACATTATAAACACACACACACACACACACACACACACACACACACACGTGTTTGTGTATGTGTGTGTGTGTGTGTGTGTGTGTGTATATATATATATATATATACACACAACATGGTATATATACAATATGATATATACATGAAGACTCAGAAAATATGACACAGAAATTAGGACTATGACATGAAGTGTTGAATCTGATACTTTAAAACATTAATAACAGTCACAGGAATGTATATTATTATTAAATTTGATAGTAATTTTTAATCATTATCTTGTAAGCGATCTTTATAATTAGCAGATGAAAGTTACCATTTTTTACTATTATTGATCAAACATGGAATCTCATACCTTCAAATGCTTCAAGATTTAGAAAGACAAACATCATGTTTTAGCTTTCTCATGCTCTGATTTAGCAGTGAATGTCATGATTATCTTTCCAATACAAAGTAGTTTCTGACACCAAACTTTCCTGAGGGCATTCTTCATCTCCATGTTTCTCAGCGTGTAGATCAGAGGGTTGAACATGGGAGCTATGATGGTGTAGAAAAGAGCAAACACTTTATCTTCTGGATAAGAGACAGCTGGTCTAATGTATATGAAAAGCACAGGCACAAAGAACAAAATGACGACAGTGACATGGGAACTGCATGTAGAAAGAGCTTTGCTGCGGCTCTCTGCTGGGTAAGCCCTGAGGGTGTATAATATGAAAGAGTAAGACCATATCAGGACTACAAAGGTCACCAGTCCCATCATGCCTGAATTGGCAACCACCACAAGTCCGACTCTGTACGTCCTGATGCAGGCAAGTGACAGCAAAGGATAAATATCACAGAAATAGTGATCCATCTCATTGGGGCCACAGAAAGGAAGGCTGATAGCCAGGAGGCTCTGGAAGAAAGAATGTATAAAAGCACCAGCACAACAAGCCGCGACCATGGCATGGCATCTCGCCCTGCTCATGATGACGGTGTAGTGCAGGGGCTTGCAGATGGCCACATAGCGATCATAGGCCATCACTGTGAGGATGAGGATCTCAATTCCTCCAAAGAAGTGCATGGTAAAAAGTTGAGCCATGCAGCTGGTATAAGAAATCATGTTCCGTTCTATGAGAAGACCAGTGAGAAGCTTGGGAGTCACTGTGGAGGTATAGCACAGGTCTGACAAAGCAAGGTAATTAAGGAAGAAATACATTGGTTGTTCATTTAGCCGGCTGAGTGTGATAGAAATCATTATGAATATGTTTCCCCCCAAAATAGCTATGTAGCAAAACAAGAACAGCAGAAAACAAAGAATTTTAATTTTCTTGTTCTGGGAAAGTCCTAACAGTATAAATTCAGTGATGTTATTGGTGTTTTCCATATTCCAAAGAAACTAAGATTCAATGGAGTGATCTGAAAGAAAAGGACAGAGGATTAAAATGTTTATTAATTGTGGTATGAATCATAGCAAATAATATAAAAGTTATATTCATTTATGAAAACATCTATCTTGTTTCCTTCTGCATATGTGTGTATTTCTAATTCTCATATTCTATACAATTTTTTCATTTGAAAACCATCATCATTTCAAACATATTAATTATTTTAGTAAAAGTGTATAAAACTGAAAGTCAAACTAGTGGGAAGTATAAACAAAAGTGTGCTGTTACACTATATAAGATAGACAAAAATGAGTTTATGAGAGTGAGATCCTTATCACAGTGTAATTTGCCCATTTGGTAGCTTAGAATTGTGACACAAAGTGAAGGAAGCAATTAAAATAAGCATAGACTGTTGTTTTAGGATTAATATTTTGTTGTGATGTTTTTACTCATGATAGTAAAACATTTATTTTGTTTATTAAATTGTTTTCATGAACAGTATTATAGATGTAAAATCCAGTCCCTGACCATGGGCTCAAAAGTATCATGTACTTGTGAGTACTATAGGAAGCAAGACAGAGAACATCCTCTGATGTGAAGTTTAAGTAGTTCTACTATTTTTAATTTAATAGCTCAAAAATATTAATCATTAAACTATTTATGTGATAAATGAATGTTGTCACAAGAGGCAGGAATACCAGTGTCCAAAGGCATAACTAACTCAAACAAGAACCAAAAGTTTAATAATGTTTAAATAAATGAATGTTTAGAATTTAGAAAGTTCTGAATTTATACAAATGACTTCATAAAAATAAATATCACCCTGGATTTTGTTATGCTAGACATCATATAGGAGGTCTCTAGCCTCTGTGTCCATTTTGTTTAAACTCTAATACCCTAGTTCTTTTCATTGCACCCAACATCAAAAGTCATTTGCTCTTCCACCCTCAGGAAGCTTCCCTCCCCTATGTAATACTGCCAGTCTGTATATCCTCTAATCTCCCATAATTCTACCAATACTGTCATTAACATGTAAAGTTAGTGTTCATTCTTCTGTGATTCTGCAAGGCAGTTTTTCAGAGAAGCAATTACAGTATTTTACAATCTTGCTGCCTTTCATAGTTTGCTATTGTGGTCAATGTATCTCAGTGCACATTTGATATTCAGATGCAAGATCTGCCTATATTGTTCACCAACAAGAAGATCATTAATCTCTTTCATGCTCACCCACTCTTCTATAGTATGAGCATTTCCATTATCCATGACCACAGAGTTTACATTAACTAGTATTCAGTTGGTAACAAGAACTAGCAGTTATTTTTTTCTATTCAGATACAAATATATACTGGTTTCACACATACATTAAAAAACACTAACCAATGGTACATTGAAAAGTTCTTATGAAAATGAATGATATCATTATTTAGATAAAACATGTCCAAACATGCCAACAAGAGAAATGATAAATTACTGATATGTGGTTAGTTTTTACCTTTTTATCAGAATACAATCTCAAGTAATTTACACACAATGTATCATTCATATTACAAGAGCCTGAGACTTCTTTCTACTTTTCAAGAACAAAAACAATTATTATTGACAATGTAGGTACACACATAATGAAGATTATTTATAGAATATTCTTTAACATTTTTCTTGCTATCTGAATACTCAAAACCTATTTTACATATTTAAACTCGTAATGTTTATATTGTTTATTTTATTTATTATTTTTAATTGTTTATCACAACTCATAAACTCAAAGTCATTTATCTTGTGTTTATATCATAGCATCTCACAACCCTCATGAGAGAAGCTTTTCCTTACAGTAAATGGGAATTAATACAGAGACCTACAACTGATTATTGTTGAGATAACAAAAGACGGCAGAGTAGTTAGCCTTAAAGGAGATATTCATACTTCACCGTAATGCTCAGGGATCTTGGCCAATGTGGAACAGAAAAATTGCAAGAGCCAGAGATGATAGGTAATGTCAAAAAAAAGAGAGTGTTTTCCAGACATAACAAGACAGAGGCACATATGAATTCACAGTGACTATGACAGCATGCACAAGACTTGCACAAGTTCCAACTGGACAAAATCCCAGCACGGAGAGTGGACAGTGGGTGTAAAACCCAACCTCTAGCTGAGGAGTGAGATTAGCAATTGATGGCTTCTAGGAGAGGGAGAGTCAGATGTCTTAATGATGTTACCCCTTGTAGTCTGACCGTACTCTAGAGCAGGCTTCAATCTCAAGACTAATTGAGCAACACAGATTGAACTTGATGGGGAAAGAAAAAAAAAATAAAAAAATTAAGTAGTCATCTCAAAGTTGGGTGGAACCAGATGGGAGTATTAAAAAGGTGGGAAGTGGAGGAGTTGAGGGAGAAAATAAGTCCAAGAAACATAGCATGAAATTCTCAAATCATTAATAAAAATAATTTTGTAGTCAAGGTAAACATTTACTCCAAAGCTTTGGATCATTCTCCTGTAGACAATTCTGAGTCTCTATTAATCTTATTATATTTTAGTTTTTACTCTCTTTTCACTCTGTTATTACTTTATTTCCTTTCTTTTGAAACAGGGTTTCTCTGTGTAATCCTGGCTACCCTGGAATTCACTTTGTAGATCAAGCTGGCCTTAAATTCAGAGATTTGCCTGGCCTGCCTCTGCCGCCCAAGTGCTGGGATTAAAGGCATGCACCACCATCACCAGGCTTTACCATGCTATTCTATCGATCAGCCTTGTTCTTTATTGATTTTCACAACTGTCTGACTTTGTGAAATTCCAAATCATGATATTTTACAATTTACTTTCACCACTCTCTATGTATTTATAGCACAAGGAAGGCAAAAAAGAAAAAAAAATGAATTCCTGTTCTGACAGATTTCATTACTTTTTATTCATTTTTTCTTATCCCTTTTTTCTTCTGTATAAACTAACTGTTCATTAATCTATCAGTACCTTTTATCAAAGCCTTTATTTGAAGATTATTAGATAAAATGTTTTCAAAAATGTGAAAGTAAGAGGAAGATGAATTTATAACACACACACTTACATGATTTATACTGTACATGTGTAGGTCATTCAGTTACTTATTTTTGCTTTAGCTATTACTTACATCTGCAAGATTATAATGTTACTTACTAGGTAATCCATCAGCACATATGTGTTCTGGCTCTAGGACTTTCTGTTCCTCTTTGAAAGAAAATATCCTCTCCTGAAAAAAACATATCTTTGGAATTTTGGGGAAGAATTTTCCTGTTTCTGTCCTCAAGATGTATGTTCTTTGTGATTTTAGAGGGGTTAAATATAGTTAAAATTCTCTGGTCAAATTCCAAGATGTATAAAGTACATTACCTGGGAGACTAGATCTCAAGGCATCCTCTTACTTTTTCTAAGGCATGAGGCATATCCCAAAAGAACATTAGGGTAATGTGCTACTTTAAATGATTTAATTCCTCTCAGGTCTTCAAAAGTAGTTCTAGGTTAGTAATGAATTACACTCTGAAGTATCTGCGTATAATTTTAGGGCAGATCTGTACTCAATCCTAGTAAGCGTCAAACTCTGTAGACACAAATTCTGAAGAGATAATAAAGCCTGATGACTGCCAAATGACACGAACTAAAAAGTTGTGATGCAGGGAAATAAAAACAATGTCTGTGAGTTTGGTTTGCACAAAAACAAAACAAACAAAAAACCATTGTTCCAAGGGCAGGAACATTTTTCTCTTGTACTAACTTCAAATCTCGATGACCTCATGCCTCTATCAAAGTTGCCATGGCAACACATTTTAGCATGCTTAACAACCAGGGCCTTGGACTTTACTCCTGGAAGTGCATCAAGATCTAGATCTCGTGCAAACAAGCCCAAAAATTAGGTTTCAAAGGGGAGAACTTGAATCCTAAACTTCAGGAATCTGTGCCCTGTCACAGGGGCTAGCTAGGAACATGGGATAATAGGGGGATCTGCTCAGTATTAAAGATGGGTTTTTCACACAGGAGAGCTATAGGCCTGAAGACTGAGGCTTTATGGTTAAGGCCTCTTTGGTTAAGATCCTCTGGAGCCTTAGCTTAAGGGGCTAGCACGTCCCTGGGGAAAGCCTTAACACAGAATTGTAGGGGTTAGCCTGGGGTCTGAATATGTGTTTCAGCCTGAGTCTCTGGGGTAGAATGGTACATTGTTGGGCCTGGAGTACACTTTCCTCTCTTTCTATATAATTTCTTCTCTGCTTAGCTGCTGTGTGTGTGTGTGTGTGTGTGTGTGTGTGTGTGTGTGTGTGTGGAGAGTAACTTGAAATTCCTTCCTTTTCCTTTGCTGACATTAACCTTTTTTCTCTGTTGCACTCAGAAACTGTAGTATCTCCTCTGATATTCTTTTTTTCCAGTTTTTTTCATTAAATTTTTTTTATTCATTTTACACACCAATCAAAGATCCCCCTTGTCCCTCTTCCCACCTCCCTAGCCTTCCCCCCCAACTCACCCTTCCTCCTCCCCACAAGAAGGCAAGGCCTCCCATGAGGAGGCACATCTAGTAGAGACAAGTCCAAGCTCTTCCCCCTGCCACAAGGCTACATAGGTATTGGGCTCCAAAAAGCCCCACTCATGCACCAGAGATGGATTCTGATTCTACCGCCAGGGGTCCCCCACAAGCAAATCAAGCTACACAATTGTCTTGCCATACCGAGGACTTCTGTGGGATGGACTGTATGTCAAATTGCTCTGATTGGTCAATAAATAAAACACTGATTGGCCAGTGGCCAGGCAGGAAGTATAAGCAGGACTAACAGAGAAGAGAATTGAGAGAACAGGAAGGCAGAGGGAGACACTGCCAGCCACCGCCATGACAAGCAGCATGTGAAGATGCCTGTAAGCCACGAGCCACGTGGCAAGGTAGAGATTTATAGACATGGATTAATTTAAGGTATAAGAACAGTTAGCAAGAAGCCTGCCACGGCCATATAGTTTGTAAGCAATATAAGTCTCTGTGTTTACTTGGTTGGGTCTGAGCAGCTGTGGGACTGGTGGGTGACAGATTTGTCCTGACTGTGGGCCAGGCAGGAAAACTCTAGCTACAGAGGGCCACATAAGGGAATGGGATGGTCAAGTTTGAACAGGGGTGGAGTGGGAAAACAATGAGAGAGATATCATGAGGGAGGAAGATATCATGGGGGTAGAGAAAAATCCTCTGATATTCTTAAATGGCTGCACATGGGTGTATGCTCAAGTTGATGTCTCTGGGGGATACAAGTGCAAACCTGCTGGCAATGTCTTCTTGATATGATGGAGAAGCTATATCCAAGAAATCGTAACAATATGATGCCTAAATGAGAGCTGAATAATGATACTCACCACCAGTCACATATCATGTAGAAGAGGAAATTTTTACAAGTTATCACTTCTCTACATGAAGAGCCACAAGCCATCAGTGGCTGATGAAAGAAGGAAAAACCAATCTTTTCCAATGAACAAGCCCCCTCATAGGGTGTCCAATAGGGCCAAGTGGTCAGCCCTAAACACACATACATAGAGCAATACTAAATGGACTCTATGGGTTTTGTGAATGTGTTTGAATGTATAGGTGTAACAGTAATATTTATAGAAGAGGCCATGGGCTTGGGAGGGAGTATGGGGACAAAGATTGGAGGGGGAAGAGGGAGGATTCCAAATTATGAAAATACAGTTTTCATGTATGGAACTCTCAAAATATTTTTAAAGTTAAATAATAAATGACAAAACAATAAAAAGAGTCATGGGGAATGCGTACTTTACCATTATGTTCAATACTTAATCTTTACACCTTATCCTATAGAAGTTGACATTTACAATCTGTATATGAGAATTATCATTACTTTCTGTTATTGAAGAAACATGGGGCCAGGCAGTAGTGGTGCATGCCTTTAATCCCAGCACTTGGGAAGCAGAGGCAGGTGGATTTCTGTGAGTTTCAAGGCCAGCCTGGGCTACAAAGTGAGTTCCAGGGAAGGCACAAAGCTACACAGAGAAACCCTGTCCTGAAAAACCAAAAAAAAGAAAGAAAGAAAGAAAGAAAGAAAGAAAGAAAGAAAGAAAGAAAGAAAGAAAGGAAGAAACATGGAGATGTGTTTATTCTCCATTATATTATTTCTCAATCCCTGTGCCAATGTAAAACAATTTTACCTATTATACATACTATAGATAGTATACCCAAACACCAGTGTTCTACAAATGCCCCCAAAATGTCATCTCTCAGCCATTTTCCCATTCACAGGAGGTAGATTCACATTAGCTCAGAAGTTTAACAATATCCCATCCAAATGGTCAACTGTATTAACCATAGTCCAGATATCCAAATATTTATTCTTTCAGAGCCTGACTCCTTTATGTAGTTTGAGACACTATGTGTGTTACCATTGGGAAACAAACCTGGTGTCTGTGAAGCCCACAAGCCATCATTGCTTTCTGTGGCTCCCTGAACCTGAGTTGTCACACTTCGTTGCTAGGTGACATCACCTAGACCTGTGAGCTGCTACTCTTTTCCTCCAGTGTCCTGTTCTTCTGATGCTATCCTCTGTTTTTCCTGGTATTTCTGGTGTAGTAACTTGTGTGTAGTCTAATGCTATAAGGACATTTCCCTTCTCTGTAAACATTCAAGGAAGGTTCACTGAGTGTTACTGCTATTCCATTATTTTACCTGAACCAGTAGTCAAATTATTGAAAGTCTTCACAGTCAATTCCTCCTGTCTAATTTCTTCAGGAGAAAACTGCCTTAAACATCTTTTGATATTTCTCTTTTGTTACATAATAAACCCAGGGAATTTCATTGTAATTGGAATGGAATCTATAAATCAGTTGGAAAGGAACTATCTTCTATACAATAAACATTTTGCAGTCTACCAAGTTTCCTGTAATGTCTTGCAAAAAATGTACAGCTTTTGTATTATTAACTATCTTCATCTGAAATTTTATTTTCTGATGCTTGAGTTTGTTTCTGGTCATTTTTTTATATGACTAATAACTGGCATAAGCATTTTTCTGTCATTCTCAATTCCTAAGAATTTTGATACTTTAAAATGCAGAAATTTCTATATATTTCTTTGACTTATTTAATATTGACTCATTTAATAAACATTAGTAATTTTATTTAAAATTTTTGACACATATATAAATATTATTCTGTAATTTCAATTAGTATTTCATTTTAAAGATTTTTAAATACTTTCCATCACTTTTGTGTTTTTATAGATAACTCTGAACACTATTGACTAATTGTAATTGTAGTCTTAAATGTCTATCTATTCATATCTTTCACAAAACATTGTTTCAAAAGTTCTCATTAATTAATAACTTTACAAATTTAAAAGAACTCTAAAGTACACAAATAATATTATATCAAGTCTTTTAGCAGAATATTCTTGTAAAGGATTGTAGTGCATCAACGTAGCATGTCCAACATGTTGTAGTCTTTAGTGATAATACTGACACCTGTTGTTGCAGGCTGAGTATTCCAGAAATCATCCAGAATAGAAGGGGCAGAATTTGTTCTAAGAGAAACAGTCATTCTGAAAATTGTTGGTTTTCCTTCCAACAATACTTATATTAGCAGTACAATGCATGGATTTGAGGAATACCTATTCATTATCATGTTATCCCATGTAATACTGAGTTTGATTATTTCATCTCACAGTGAAGGTCACATGAAAAGTGGACACATATACCAATCATCCACACATACTACTATGTATACTACTGTAGACTAAACTGTGTTTACTCAAAACTCACATAGTGAATCTTTACCATCCACTATCTAAGAATATCTATTTAAAGATTGGACCTACAAAGAGATAATTAATTCAAAATGAGACTATGTAGGTTAAGCCCAATATGATACGATAGAGTATACTATCGTATACTCTACAAAACCCTGGGAATGTTTGCAGAAAAAAGATCATGTCGACACATAGTAAGAAGGTAGCCTGCTGTGGATATCATTCTGTATAAATAAAACACTGATTGGCCAGTGGCCAGGCAGGAAGTATAAGCAGGACAAGGAGAGAGGAGAACTCAGTGAAGTGGAAGGGTGAATGGAAGAGACACTGCCAGCCACCGCCATGACAAGCAGCATGTGAAGATGCCTGTAAGCCACGAGCCACGTGGCAAGGTAGAGATTTATAGACATGGATTAATTTAAGCTATAAGAACAGTTAGCAAGAAACCTGCCACGGCCATACAGTCTGTAAGCAATATAAGTCTCTGTGTTTACTTGGTTGGGTCTGAGCGGCTGTGGGACTGGCAGATGACAGATTTGTCCTGACTGTGGGCCAGGCAGGAAAACTCTAGCTACAGTAGCCCTCTGTAAGCCAAGGAGACTAGTTCTAGAGAAATCATACCAATTGGTGTCTTGATCTTGAACTTTCAGAAATGATAGGGAAAAGAAAAAGAAAGAAAAATGCCTTACTGCTTTTATTTAGGTCAGCCATTCCACAATAGTTTTCAAGTTTGTCCCCAGAAAACCACATGAACCGTGAGTTTGATTTGTTTCAACATGAAGCTATAATAGCTTAGTGAAAGTCAATATACAAAATTAGAGATGATACTCTGGAAGACTAAAGTTGTATAATTAGTGACATATTTACCAATATATTATGTTGTTTCTTTATTAGTTTATGTAGTTATAGAAATGAAAAGCTGTTACATCATTATCACATGAAAACGGATTTACAGAATCTTTGATTCCTGGCATGTAATTTCTAGTTCAGTGTCTTTATTTATAAAATGTATGCTTTCAAAAGGAAATAAAATATTTCTGTTATTGAATTAAAAGTTTCCTGGATATTCTGGGGCCCTGTGTCTCTATTAAAAAACAAATTAAGTAGTGATCATAGTGATTAGTGTTCAGGACTGTGATTATGAATACATAAGAGTGACAAAGATGATCAGTACATGTAGATGAATTTCTAAACGGTCTTATTAAATGATAAACACAGAGCCAAATAAAGAATTAAAGCCTAAGAGATCAGAGCAAGAGCCACAACTCCCTTTAGCTTACCACTCACTGTCATCCTCCCCCTGAGAGAGAGAGACCTTCTTCCTGTGTGTCTTGAGTTTTATTGCTTTGCTGTTCTGCCTTCTCATTGGCTCTAAGCCCAGCCACCTGACTTCCTTGTCACTGCATGTCTATACAGACTTCCTGGTCTCTATGGTTAGTACTGAGATTAAAGACTTGAAGGTCACCATGCTTGGCTATGTCCTTGACCACACAGAGATTCTGCCTGCCATGTGATCGGATTAAGGGCGTGGGCTACCACCACCTGACTTCTATTTCTGGCTCACTAATGACCTCTGATCTCCAGGCAAACTTGATTTAATAATATACAAATAAAATCACATTTCAGTATAATTAAAATATCACCACAAGCATACAGAACTAAAGAAACTATCTTTATTAAGTTGTTTAGAATGTGATAGTTGATAAGTAAATAAAACCACAGGAAAATGACTGGACATGGAGGAATCAAAATTTACAAAATCAACATTTGCTTTACACAAATATGAACCTCAATTCACTGAAAGTCACACTGAAAGCAAAAAGAAGAGAGAATAAAGAACACAACAAGCAATTATGAACTGTTATTAAAATATCATAAGCAAAGTCAGCAAAAAGACAGTTGTAGAATGGCTTGATATTCACATATACACATTTTTTAAGTCTGTCATGGAATGTGCTTCTTTAACAAAGGTATTTGATGATACCATACTCTCTTTATGGCATTCTTCATCTCAGTGTTTCTCAATGTGTAGACCAGAGGGTTGAACATGGGAGCAATGATAGTGTAGAAAAGAGCAAACACTTTGTCTTCTGGGAATGTTATATTTGGTCTCATGTAAACAAAGAGAACAGGCACAAAAAACAGGACCATAATGGTTATATGGGAACTACATGTGGAAAGAGCTTTGGAACGGCTCTCTGCAGGGTAAACTCTAATGGTGTGTAATATCAGCAAATAAGAGATCATCAAAATTACAAATGTTACCAAAGCAATTAGGCCAGAATCAACGATGACAAAGAGACCAATTCTATGTGTATCAGTGCAAGCCAATTTTAATAAAGGGTGCACATCACAGAAATAGTGATCTATCTCATTGTGGTCACAAAAGGACAAAAAGGAAATGAGAAGGGACTGACTGGATGAGTGCAGAAATCCTCCAGTGCAACAAACTGCAAGGATTTCATTGCATCTCTGTCTGCTCATAATGAGAGTGTAGTGCAGAGGCCTGCAGATGGCCACGTAGCGGTCATAGGCCATTGCCGTGAGAATGAAGATCTCTATGGCTCCAAGGAAATGAAGAACAAATAGCTGTGTCATGCAATTATTATAGGAAATAATCTTCCTCTCTGCCAGTAAATCAGTCAGGAGTTTGGGTGTCACTGTGGTTGTGTAGCAAAGATCAGAAAGTGATAAGTAATTGAGGAAGAAGTACATAGGTTGTTCCATGAGTTGAGTGAAAGTGATAGAAATAATTATGAGCACATTGCCCATCCAAATAGCAATGTAGCAAACTAGAAATAATACAAAGCAGAGGACTTCAATGTTTTGGTTTTCAGAAAGCCCCAAGAGAATAAATACAGTAGCATTTCCCATGGTTCAGTGCAATAGAAATACATGGCAGGGCCCTGAAAAGACAGATTGGATTGATGAATGCCAGCAATATAGAGATCATTGATGATTAACACTGATATGAACCTGTGTTTGAGGGACTACTTCACAGATTTTATGTTAGGTTTGACATGAATAAAGTTGAATTCAGTTAATCAAACAATTAAAGAGTGGTTTAAAATGAGGATTAGTTACTAAAAGTTTTCAACATACAACTAAGTCCTTGTAAAAGATGAGTTTGGGGTCCTTAAAGACTCAAATACTGTTAAAGATAAAAGTATATGACAAAACACAAGTAAGGTGTAAACTTAAACAATAGCTCTAATTTTGAATCATGGAATATATTTTACTTTGAATTTATTTAGACACTGAACATAATTTATTTGCATAGGGGTGTGTGTGTGTGTGTGTGTGTGTGTGTGTGTGTGTGTGAGAGAGAGAGAGAGAGAGAGAGAGAGAGAAACACTTCAAGTAACTGACCCATAAAGTTGATTTGGATAATTAGTCAGGGGTCTGTAGACTTGGTTAAGTGGTTAGACAGAGTATAGCTCTTGTAGAGGAGCTGAGTTCAGTTCTAAGTACACATATGGGGTGGCTCACAAGCACACCTGCGCCAAAAACCTTATACCCATGTAAAGACACAGAGACATATGCACAGTAGAAAATCACACTTTAAAAATATTAATAGTTTTCCTCTCTTTTTCTCTATTATTACATGTGATTTAGCACCATGCTGTTAATATTTTATAATCCAAGAACATTTATATCTGTGGGTATTTTATTAAAAATTAAATACTTAAATTAGCAATGCAACATGGAAGTTATTTAAACTGAAAAAAATTAGTGGAAAACAAATTCATTTGTATAATTTTGCTTTTTAAATTTTTATATCAAAATATAAATGTCATTTCCACCCTTTCCTGCTTTTCCTCCTGCACATGCGAAGTTCCACCCCTTGCTTCTCCCATAATACCCCAACAGTGTAGCTTCCTAAACATGATCTGAAAAGATACAGTAGACACGCTGATAGATAAGGGAGAAATCCCCCTCTCAAACACACACAAAGAACTACAGGCAACTAAGAAATACAAAGAGTGAAAGAAATAACCCCCCCATGGATGAGACCCCTAATTGGTTACCCAATACCAAGTGGTCAGCCCTGAAATCATATACATACAATTATACAAATAATGCAGGTTTTTTTATTGATTAATTGATTGATTGATTGATTGATTGATTTAATTATTTATAGTTTTTTCGAGACAGGGTTTCTCTGTGGTGTTTTGGTGCCTGTCCTGGATCTCGCTTTGTAGATCAGACTGGCCTCGAACTCACAGAGATCCACCTGGCTCTGCCTCCCGAGTGCTGGGATTAAAGGCGTGCGCCACTACCGCCTGGCATAGGTTTTATTTACATATTATATTTACATATTATAAATCTTAGTTAAATGATATGTAAATAAATATAAATATATTTCCTTTTATATGTATTAAGTGAAGCCTCCATTTCTAATTTGTATTTTATCCATCTTACAACAGTTGTCAAAACTTATAAAGTATCTTGATATTGCATATTTCAGAAAACAAGTTATATAAAATTGTCTTTATTGGCATATATCTGACCTCTAGGTTATATATTCAAATTATGTTACTGTATGTATATTTAGATAGCAATTTCTCTTTTTCTGTTAATCAAGCTTATCTCATCTATAAGATTTGGGAATCAGCCTAGAAATAGTGATTCAATAGGTGTGAATGAAAATTAATCTAATAAATGGTCAGTGACTTCTTAGCCAGAGATTAAGATCTGAACTTATAACTTAAACTCTGATGGTATAGAATCACTCAGTATTCTAGAAATTCAGTAAATCTGATTTTGAAGAAAATGGCAATTTCATGTCACAAGATAACTTAACCAAGATAGGAACAGACTCCCTAGTTAATTTTTTATATAAACGTATATAAACATATAAACAATATGATTATCTTTAAAGACCACAGAGAGAATCAGTAAAGCAATTTTAATTCATCTATCAATCATAAAATGACAATCAAACAGGATTTGATTTATAAAAATTGAGATAGTTAAGGATTTCTAATGTAGTACTGTTCTCAATACTGTTGGAAGAATAACAGAATAGTTAACCAATAATCCACTTACCTTTATAGTAAATTTGACTCCCAATCAGAGTAAAATTGTGATCTTTACTGAAAACATCTTTTGTATATTCTAATAAGTTTCAAATTATCATTTCTCATCTACTCATTTGTTGACATCCCTTCCAAACTCTTGGTTCTAAATTAAGTTGACATGTTAACTCCCACAGTAAAAATGAAAACATTGCCATTGTAGCTTCTGTTGAGAAAGAATTAATTTATTTCCACAATGTGATTTTAAGATTTATAATTGTCCTTTATCAAAACCAATGAATTCCATCATTATTAACACTGATTTTACTAAGACATAAGGAAATAATTGCTATCTCTTGAGCAATGTTCAAAATACTACTTTGGGCAGCTCATTTATTTTTGTTCATATGAGTCAAATAGCAGGATTAGTTTAGTCAGGTTCATAGAAATAAAATGCATTGCTTTATGCATTTTATATAAATAAAATTATATTATTAAACAAAATGAAAATAATAGTTCACATATAAATTGGATCTCTGAAAACTGTGTTATTAAACAATACTTGATCAAAATTAATGATCATTCTCTTTTCACGTATTAATAGAAAAATTTCCATTTTTTGGTTATTCTAATAAATATGGCCTAAAGTTATAATTCCAGTTTTAAAACAGATTTGAGCATCTAGATATCTTTTTTCTCATGGCCACAGCTGAAATTTTATTCTGCTTCTTGACAGGCTTTTCATCAATTTATTTGAACATTCATTGTTCACTATCTATAAACTGCCATCCAAAGTTTAGAATTTGAGACACTCAAAAATGTGCGAAATAATTTCTCCCCTTGTGTCTTAAATTCAAATGTATATTTCACCATGTCCAACTTACTTTGATGTAGATCTGAAAAATAGTTATAGAATTAGAAATATAAAAATTAATTGACTCTTTCATGATCAAGTATGCAGAGACCCACCGAAGGTTCATATAGCATATCACACTTTGAAATTAGAATTTTCTAGGCCTGGAGCCAAACTGCTTGCATACAGTGAACATAACCAAAGTCACAGAATGAATTTAACCCCAATCTCTTACATCTTTCAAAATTATCTTATTTTTTTTAACCTTCATACTTATAGTTTTCAGTGTTTTAAGGCAATCTCATATTACTGGTATGTGCATGAAAAAAAATGAGTTTAAAAAAGTACCTAAATAAAAAACAAAAATAATGTACCTAAATCAAAAAAATACAAAGATGAAATCTACAAGCTAGGTATGCTCCTCTGTCCTGCACATTCTATATATTTATGAACAAAAAACTATGGCTCTGTTTCCTGTGTAAACAAGTAATGGATCCTTCAGCCTCAGCCTCTACTGCCATTAGAGCAGCAGCAATGGCCACTCTGCAAGAATAACAGATTGGATACAAAAGACTGTGACATATTTTCTAATCTAGTTTTCCATTCTCTTAAGGGTTTGCTCTTAGCACAAACATGCACAACGGTGACAAAATTTTAGTAATGCATAACAATATTTTAGTTAAGATTTTATACTTACTCTCTCAATCATTGCCAAATGTAATATTTTAGCCAGTCTTTAAACATATGAAAGTAAAACAACTAGGGCTGATTATGGTCTTAGCATGATAAAATATCTGACTTTGTTAAGCTATTTTCATGAAGCATCCGTAGGTATAACTCTCACCTTGGTGTTAAAGCCTTCCCATGCTCCATGTTCCTAAGTCCCCTTAAGGAATTAATACTATAAATGCAATAGCACTAAGAAGTATTTGTAAGACTATTTTACCAAGTGCATACTAAGCCATGAATATCATAATGATTAACTTCTAGCCTTATATTTAAAAATAGTAGAGTTAAATCTAAAGCAATGCAACTAAAATTTCTAGATACCTACGGTATAATAAATCTATTACTACTACTACTTAAAGCAGAGATGTAATGCCCCAAACATTTCATTTTAAGTCCTTGCTAACTGGAAGCTCTATCTGTATTTGATTTTCATGAATTTAATCCTGCAAAGGAGAGGCATGACTTACAAGCTTCCAACAAACACTAAGAAAAATATACATATTTGTTTTGAATCCCAGCCTCTTCTCTGTGTGATTTTTGTCATGTAATAGTTTTCCTCCAGTCTTAGTAGTACTCGTAAGTACATTTATAATCATAATTTTTAGCACTAGGTAGTTTGAAATAATTAACTCTCAGTTATTAGATAAGTTCATGAGAGAGTAACTCAGTCCAGTAAAGATGCTTAAAATAATTCTGTCCAGTCTTCTTTTTTTAATATCCTTCCAGTATATGCTAAGTATTAATCCTTAAATGTTCATTAAATGATGAAAATAAAACACTTCAAATATTTAAATTAATATTTAAATAATTATTCAATAATCTCATGATCATCAACACAGCCTACATCAAACATGGCAAGCAAAAACAGTCAAGTTTAGAGTTGCTTCCATTTGACTAATTAGTGCTTTCTTAGGTTGACTACAGTTAATTCTCTTTTAATGTGTGTTTGAGTGTTTTGTTTGTTTTTCCCTTTGCTTGCCTCTGAGGATCAGGGAGAGAGCAAATGGTTCTTACCAGAATTAGTTTCATGTTTCAATTTTTGCTTCTGAATTTCTTGGTAGGCTGTGAATAACTTTATGTTTAATCAATATTCCATTATACTACTAAACCTTCTAGTGACTTTTCTTGATGTGAAATTTTCTACCTAAGTAGGTATCAAGTCTGTATCAAGTAGGCATCAAGGTGCATCAAGTAGGCACCTATCTCTGAAATGTCACATTATAATCTCTATGGGCAAAATTTTGAATTTATCTCAAAGTAAATTCTCTCTCCAA